TTTTCTATTACTTTAACCCATTTCCTTCAACTGGACATTGAGGTTGTTTAACTTTTTTTGTTATTAAATTTTATGTTGGGCAAACCACAAGGTTGGGAAAAATATCAACATTACATATATCTGAAAAAGAACAAAGTCAGAATTATAGCCTATACGTCAATAAGGAAACTCAAAAAAAAAAATACTGGGCAAAATACTTGAATAGATTTCATTAAAGAAAAGATGCCCAAATCATCAATGAGCATATGAAAAGGTGCTCAACTCTGTTAATCTTCAGGAAAAGGAAAATTAAAAAACCAGGATACTAGTGGGTGCGGTGGCACACACTTGTAATACCAGCTATTTGGGAGGCTGAGGCAGGGGGTGGCAAGTTCAACTCCAGCCTGGGCAACTTAGCAGATCCTGTCTCAAAAAATAAAAAGAGCTAGGAATGTAGCTCAGTGGTAGAGCACTTAAAAGAATCCCACTTAAATAAAACAATACAAAACAAAACACCAACCCCTCACACAAGCAGATACCACCAGAATGATTAAAACGAAAGACACAGGTGATAATGATAATAAGAGTTGTCCAGGATGAGGAGCCACCAGAGTTCTCAGCTACTGCTGGGCAGCAAGCAAACTAGACAATCACTTAGGAAAACTTTTGGCAACTTCAGTGAAGTTGAACATATTCATATGCATGAGCTACCAATTCCACTTAAAAAAAAAATATATATATTTTTTAGTTGTAGATGGACACAATACCTTTTATTTATTTATTTATTTATTTTTTATGTGGTGCTGAAGATCAAACCCAGGGCCTCACACATGGTAGGCAAGCACTCCACCACTGAGACACAACCCCAGCCCCCAATTCCACTCTTAGGGTACACTTAACAGAAATGCATACAGGTTCACCAAAAGACATGTTCACAGCAGAACTATCCTACAGCTTCAAGTTGGGAACTGCCCAAGTAACCACAGATAACACAATGCATAATAAATTGTGGTATATGACATAACAAAATAGAATTTTTTACAACTATAAGAACAAATTTGAGCCAGACCCTGTCTCAAAATAAAACTTAAAAAGTGCTGGGGGTATACTTCTCCTGAATTCAATCCCCAGTGTCACTGAAAAAAAAGAAAGAAAAAAAAAAAAAGCAAGAACAATAAACAATATGGACTAGTTTCACAAACATAACACAATGAGAAGAAGTCACACACGAACATTTATACTTAACAATACAGTATACATAAAGTAACAAAATAGGCAAAACTAATCCATGCTATTAGAAATCAGAATGTCAGTTACTCTATTAACCACCAGGAGGGAGAAGGGGATTAGGGGATTGCCTGCAGGGGCTGGTGAGCTGGGTACTGGTTACACAGGTATGTTCAGGATTTTTTATTTTTGTTTTTGTTCAGTTTTGGAAACATTATCAAGGTGCACACATGACTTGCAGACATTCTATTCTATTTTTCAATATTGAAACATTGCTGTAAATCCAGAGAGAACATAGATTAGTTGTTGCAGGGGACAGGAAAAGGGATAAATTAGGTGTGACTGGTAACTGGTACAGGGTTTCTTTCTGGGGTAATGAAAATGTTCTGGAATTAGTAATGGTGACACTTGTACAACCCTATGACTATACTACCTCCCCTCCCCCAAATTATGTATTTGATGGGCTCTGAATCATAATAATAAAACTATTGCTACACTGGGGGTGTAGCTCAGCATGATTAAGGACCCGGGGTCCATTCCTGGAGTCACAAAACAAACAGAACATCCTACTGTTATAATAAGCAATCCTTCTAGGAGCTTTTGGCCCCGAGAGGATACATCCATCTGTAGGTTGAGAAGTACACCAGACAGCTCCATATCTGAGAGTCCAACGGGGCTAAGGTAAGACACCAGTGGCTGCAGATAATTAATGTGCTGCCGTGTACTCCTGCCGTCCACTCTGAACGTGCCCTCTACTTCAAGGACAAGGTGGGGCAGACTGCAGACTGAGCAGATAGGAGGGGTCTGTTCTTTAAAGAGAGTGGTGGTCTGGTAGGTTGTGATGGGCATTTTGAGAGTAAGATGGAGAGAATGAGAAAGGTGGGTTGATACTTGTCTTGAGGAATTGAGGAACCCAAAAGAGACACATCTCCTTTAGATAAAAAAAGTCAAAGTCCTAAAAATCTCTTGAGTCCAAAGTCAAGAGGATGACAGGTGCCAACAGCAGAGCGGGCCACTCAGGATGATGGTGTGCTCCCCAGAGGTCAAAAGGAGCCCCTGGGGAAGGGAGCTGGAATCGGGGCATTCTGCAAGGGCAGGGCATCCTCTCTACCCTCACAGGACTGCCTGGAGGGGTCAGGAGACAGCAGCAGAACATCTGTGAGGGAGGAGTGCTAGAAATAGGGCCAGAAATACCTCCAAAGCAAACCCTTAAAATATGCAGCCCACAGTGCTGGCTTGGAGCTCTGTGGTACGGGTCATGAATGCAGACACAGCAGGCTGGGACGCTCTGGGGGTGAGTGTGTGGCTCCTCAGTCTTTGTAAGCCATGCAGAGCCTGCAGTCAGTTTGGTGCTATGGAAACCTGGATGGCCAAGAGTCTGCCTACTGAGCATACAGCTCTCTGGGGATAGTTAGTACGGTCCTTTGTATAGGTAGCTCTCTGTTTCTTTTAACAAGTATAACAAAATTCTAAGAGCCAGGCAACAACTGATATGTTTGCAAGGAGAGGAAGTGAAAAGGAGCATTTGTGCAAATATGGAAAGTCAAATGAAGAATCTAAGGTTTTGAACACAAAGGCCTGCCAGAAAGGGACCCAACCCTATTGCAAAATCAAACTGAGGGTATCACTGGTCCCCAATCTTAATAGTTTCATGACCTGAAGGTGCCTGTCTCTAGGTTCAAGAAGCTGGGGATGGGGACATGCAAAGATATAGGCAGCTGGAGGCCTCCATGAAGGGAAGAAGTCTGAATGATGTATTGGCATGGGGGACTGGCTGGGAGTAAACAGATCAGAAGCATACTATGATTCAGGGGAAAATCCTGTCAGCAAAGAAAAATGAATCTGACCTAAAACTGCCTACGAGAGCCTTAAAAAGCCTTTGGCACCTCAGCCTGTGGTCAGCAGAACTGTGGGCTGTGAAGGCTGCTTGTCCCCAGGAAGTCTTGCTTCCTACGCCTGCCTTCCCTGAGCCGAGGGGAGCAACGGGCGAGGAGAAGGCTCCCGGAGGCTGAGCCAGGGATTTGTAGAGCATCATCCTCCACCCTGGGCTGCAGCAAGACCCCATTGCTGCCATAGGCCAGGAATATGTTTCTTGTCCGAATGGGAGTATTATGGCAGTTAATCTGTACTTTGCCATTACCATGTGTGTCTCTCAGTCAGAAGAAGCCAATCCTAGACCTGAGAGAGAGAGAGAGAGAATGGCATGTCACCCAGAAATCTTGGACTTTGAGGTGGATGCAGACCACATGGCTGTTTGGTTGGCTCTCTTGAGTCTGGGGGTGTATCCATGTGTGGAAGAAGGTCCTGTAGGTATCAGTTAGCTGCATAGATAGATAGGATAGACTGTAACAATGTCCAGCAGCTTTCCACAGGGAAGCCACTGCCCATGTCTTTCAGGATACTCACTAGCCTGCATTTCCCAGACTGCCCTGTAGTCACAAGGATCATGTGACTAAGTTCTTCCCACTGGAGCGTGAGTGAGGGACAAGTGCCACTTACAACCCTTTGATGATTCTAGCCCCCTTCCTGTCAAATGGAACTTGGATGGCGACCAGGCCAAAATAATGCAGGCAGTAAGGCTCTGACAGGAAAGAGCAGAACTGGAAGATACTAGCAGCCTGAGCCCCTCTACATTTCATGGAGGAATACCTACCCTGGGCAGTCTGGAGAGGGAGACACAAACCATGACTGGTTTAAGCCACTACATTTGGGGGTCTATTTGTTACAACAACATATTCTTAACTAGGATGCTGAAGAAAATACTAAAAAAATCTGGAAACAACCTAAACGTCCAACATGTAGGAATCAATTAAATGAATTATGAAACATCCATATAACTTAATACTATTTCATGAAAAATAATGTGGTAGATACTTAATGATGTGGAAAGGCACCTGAGAGAGTTGCCGCTTAGGGAGAAAACAGGTTCTAGACAGGACAGGCAGGGAGGAGAGAAGAAATCTCTCGATGGAAGGTGTCTTAGTCTTACCCTGGGTTGCTGGAAGTTCCTGAGTTCCTCAAAGGCATCAAATAGACACTCTGCTTTTTGACATTCAGAATCCGGTTGAGGTAGTGGAGGTTCAAACTCTAAAAGAAGAACATAACATTACCACTTTTTTCAGTCTATTGCAATCCAATCACAAGTGGTTCCTATATGGTTACTTCTACATTTAGGAGTAACAACTATGTTATAACTTTTCAGGAATATTTCTTAGGAATTGCTTTCCACTTTTCTATAATGCAATAAAATAGCTCCCTAAGTCTCTCACTAAGATCTTGCTGTTCAGTATAGTGCTCATAAGCCACGTGTAGCTATTTAAATTTAAGATAAAAATTTTAAGATAAAAATTTAAAAAGTAGTTCCTCAGCAGCACTGGCCACATTTTACGTGTCCTGAGGCCATATGTCATATGTGCTAGTGGTTCATACTGAACATTTTTATCATGGCAGGGGGTTCTACTGGGCAGTGTGGCTGCAGGCTATTCAGGTGATGTGGCAGTATTCCAATAATCCTAGAATTTGACTCAGAAAAACATCAAAAGATAGCAAGAGGTGAAAGTCTGCTGGAGTTCGAAAGAGAAGCGGACTGCCATCTAAGAGAAGCGGACTGCCATCTGACAGATGGTAATAGCAGGATCTGCAGGGGAGAATGTGACCTGTTGATTTTTTTCCTTCCCTAAGTGCTGGGCACCCAGGTGATGAGGTGTGAGTTCATAACCATTGGTTTTGCTGCAAATGACCAGCTGCAAAGACAGACAAGATTACAGACAGGAGAGAACTGAGAGCAAGGGAGAACAGTGGTGCAGTCAGCGTGGAGGCAGCTGGCCTGGGAGGTGACAGAGTGAGGTGGGGGTAGCCAGGGGCTCCTGAAGGAGTTCAGCTGGCCTTCATCCAGGGAAGACACAGAGACCTTTAAGAGGTTAATGATAAGATTATACCCTTCAAAGGTCACTCTGGTGGTCAGAGACCTGTAGATATAGATCTTGAGCTAATAGCTCCCTTGGCAAGATCAGAAAGGAGGCGGCTGAGAGAGCGAGGGAGCTTACAGGGCTGGAAGTGGGCAGAGGAGAGAGTTGGGAGGCCAAGTGCAGAGAGTGTGTTTAAAGGAGGTGGCTCTGAAGGAGAAGGGGGCAGACATAACAACACTGTTAGAGCTGTTTCTTTTTTGGGGGTACAAGGGATTAACTCAGGGGTGCTTATCCACTGAGCCACATCCCCAGCCCTTTTTATTTTTGAGACAGGGTCTCTCTTAGTTGCTTAGGGCCTTGCTAAGTTGCTGAGATTACAGGCATGTGCCACCATGCCTGGGTCTATTGCACTTTCTAGAATGTTCTCTGTCTTCCTGGCCCTGCTTTCCCTGTTTATATGTATAGACTCATTTAGTTCTCATCATAATCCTGTGAGCATAGTACTACTTTATTGTCTTTACTCAAAAGAGGTAGGTTGCTACAAATGCTCGATTAGCGAATTATTCCTAGGGAATACAGGGTTAGGTCCTTGAAGCCTCTAATGGCTATATGACTGTTTATGTGCATTTCTGGTTTCATATATGTTGTTGATTCATTAACAATGAACTTGGGACCTCAGCACTATAACTCACACTGAGCAAGATGAATCTCCTTGTGTTTACTTTCAGTACCAGGCTTGGGACCGTTTTAAACAATGACATCACCAACAGAAAGCACAAAAACGTGAAAACATGGCACTGAACAGAACACGAAGATGACCCGTGCTCACACCGTGGGTGCTGGACCAAGACAGAGCAAAGTCCTGTTTCACCTCTGCTGGGAACGTGCTCTAAGGGGACTCAAACTTTTTGCCACTCTGAGCTTGCCTACTAAACAATCATGAGAGCCCTGAAGGTGCTGATTTGGGGCATCAAATTGTAGAAAATACACAAATTCAGAAGTACAGAATATGCAAATAATAAGGATGGATTGCATTTGTATTTTACAGATAAGAAAAATGAGGCACCAAAGGGTAACTCCCCCAAAGTCACACTGACAGAAAGGTATAAAGTGGTAAAGCTGGGATTGGACCAGAGCTATCTGCCACAAAGGAAAGAATCACAAGTCTGGGAATCAGAACAGGGTTCAAACATGAGGAGAAAGTGTTGGAGCATGTTGAGTTTCCCCTCTAGGGAATTTCCCTTCTTTCTTGGGTCCTGGCCTCTCAAATCCTAGCTGTCTCAGTCTCTCTGATACCTTCCCAAACCATTTCCCCCAGCATTGGGGATTGAACCCCAGGCCTCATACATGTTAGGCAAGTGATCTACCACTGGGCTACATCCCAGCCCTTATTTTATTCTGAGACAAGGTCAAAGTTGCACAGGCTAACTTCAAATTTATAGTCTTCCTGCCTCTGCCTCTTGTGTAGTTGAGATTATTAGTATGTGTGGTGCTGAGCATTTAAAAAAATTTTTTTATATAGTTTTGATGTATTCTTATTGGAAAGTTTGGTCAAATGCAAGTTACTCATTGACAATCAGCTATCAGAGTTTCTTTCTTTCTTTTTTTTTTTTTGTTTCTGGATGTTGGGGATTGAATTCTGGGCATTGCATATGCTAGGCTGAGCCACAGTTCCAGCCCCAGGTGTTTTTAGTCATAATAAAAAACCTTTGCCAAATACTCCTTACCTTGTATCTTAACCTGTTTTTCCCCCCATCAATTTGACATATCTTGGGCTACTGCCAAATCTTTCAGGACCTGTGTTCTTTTCTGAAGGAAGTGATCATGGTAATACTTGCTATAGACTTTCATGAGGATTAAGCAAGAGAACCTGAATATCTCAAATACAGGGCCTCAGGGTGTTCAGTAGATGTGTTTTGAAAGGTGTCAACCAAAGGGTGGAGACCTGGAGGTGAAAGAGGCAAACTCCAACCTGAGGGTAGCAGATAGAATTCACAGGCTTCCTGCTGAAGCCACCCAGAAGCCACCCCTTCTACTTCCAGGTCTCCCCGAAGCCAACTGTGCTATAGGTTTGCTGAGTCTCCATGGTCTAATGGATCTGTGTTCTCATGGGATGCATCTAGGAAATACTAGTGAGTTTCTAGCTTTCGTGTCTCAGGCTCAGGACCCACATGACCCAGTTATCACCTATCCTGGGTAGGCCAGAAGGGAGGCCAGCCTTTATCCTGTTGCCCAGTCACTCTGGGCCCTATCTAACCACAACACTTGAAGAATGAATCAGTCAGTACTCCTCCCTTGCTGGGGGAAAACAAAGGGGTATAAACACTTTGGAGACCAAACTTGTTGATCCTGGGTTAGTCCTTTGTCCAATAATTCCATCCTGAGAAATTTACTGGAAGGAAGGGAACAACTGTCTATGCAGAGAAACACGAAGCAGCACGATAGTGGCAGAACTCTGCAATCTGATGAATGCCCAAAAGGAGCCCAGATGAGGTGTGATCTATTCACCCAATAGGATAGTCTTCAGCGGGGAAAACAAGTAAAGGACAGCTCTGGGCATCAGTTGTTGATGATACTCAAAACCACTGTTAAACAGAAAGGCCGAATCACAGCAGAATGTCTTTATGTCAACAACAGATGTTTAAGGAGAAACACATAAGAGGTAAGACTCCCAGGAAAGCGGGGAGGTATAATGAACAGAACCCAGGACAGCTGGTTCCTCCAGGGGAGGGCAGGGCAGTGCCTTCTGAGGCCCAGCACAGGCCTTCTGAGGAATAAACAAATTCTCTCAATCTGACGTAGGTGACTTGGGTATCTACTGTCTTAGTCCCTTTGTGTTGCTATAACAAAATGCCATAAATGGTGTGGCTTGTTTAAACAAGAGGAATTCCTCTTAACAGTTCTAGAGGCTGGAAATCCAAGATCAGGCACTGCTAGATCTGGTGTCTAGTAGGGGCCCGTTTTCTGGTTCATAAATGGCAACCTTTCAGTGCGTTCTCACTTGAGCTCCTTGGGCCATTCCACAGGGGCACTCATCAATTTGGAGAGCTCTACTCTCATGAGCTCATTACCTGCATTACCTGCCAAAGGCCCATCTCCTGCTGTCACCCTGGTGATTAGGTTTCAACATACGAATTTTGGGGGAACACAGCATTCAGACCCTAGCATTTATTATTTTATCTGTAAGCAACAGAGTTGCTTTTTGTTTTGTTTTGTTGTGGGTTTTTTTGTTTGTTTGTTGTTTGGGTACTAGAGATTGAACCTAGGGGTGTTTTGCCACTGAGTTATCTCCAGATCTTTTTATTTTTAAATATATATTTTTTAGTTGTAGATGAATGCAATACCTTTATTTTATTTATTTATTTTTATGTGGTGCTGAGGATGGAATTCGGTGCCTCACATGTAGAAGGCAAATGCTCCACCATTGAGCTACAACCCCAGCCCTTTTATTTTTTATTTTGAGACAGGGTCTCAATAAGTTCCTGAGGGTCTGGCTAAGGTGCAGAGTCTGGCCTCAAACTTGTGATCTTCCTGTCTTAGCCTCCTAAGTCACTGGGATAACAGGAGAGTGCCACCTCCCCCAGCAATATGGATATTTTATATTCCTTTTGTGGGTATAAACTCATGTATAATGTCTCTGAAAGACAACAAAAAGGAATTTAATGTGAATTAGAGCACAGCCTGCTTGTTAGGCTTAAAACCTAATGGTAATGGAGTCATAGGGGATGGTTTTGTCCCTTTAGGAAAATGGGTGGATGTCTCAAGGCCATTCCAGGGATGCTGAAGTGGCTGTAGCAAGAGATTATGAAGACTGAAGAGGCAAAACCCTCAGGTTAGGGCTGGAGTTGCAGCTCAGTGGTAGAACACTTGCCTGGCATGTGTGAGGCCCTGGGTTCAATCCTTAGCACCGCATATAGATAAATGAAATAAAAGATCCATTGACAACTAAAAAAATATTTTAAAAAAAGAGGAGGGTGTTTAAAACAAAACAAAACCTTAGGTTACCTCCTGCACAAATCTGTCTCCAGCATTAAGGTGATAGGTTAAAGATGTTGGCCCTAGTTTCCTTTCCTTCAGGAACAGAGGCTTCCAGCAAAACCAGAGCCCTTGCCAGCCATCTGGGAATGGGGGCTGCAGAGCGGCACTCTTCAAAGCCATTCCTGTAGATTCTGGGTTCCTATGTGCAAGCTAACAATCAAGACATAGTACACACTGTACCCAGAGTTGCCCAGTGTGGTGGCCACCAGCCACAGTGACTGCTGTGTACTAGAAATGTGAGCAGCAAGACTGAGGAGCTAGAGTTTATGCTTCATTTAAATTAATTTAAAATGATTAGTTTGGGTGCAATGGCACAGGCCTGTAATCCCAG